TTGCCTGGCCAATGCCTGACCTTGTTTAATAAACACCAGCAGGCTCGTGGGGGAAAAAAGACCTAAGGGCCTGCTCACACCAGTTCATTGCAGCACCTAGAAATTAATTTTGATCAGATCAGACTAGTACAACATGGATTCTGATTGGATATCGGGGGGGCTTTGGACCCAGCTTATTGGGTCAATTTAAAAAAAAATTATCCCATATGTGGTACTTCCAAATGTCTTCTTCTTACAAAACAAGAGGACATATGTTTCATAATAATAAACTTAAATTAATAAGGACATAGCAAGTGATCGGCCCTTTGTTAAATACAGCAAAGAGCAGATTCTGATTGTTGTGACTAAAATTACATTGAACTAAATTTAGTTATTATTAGAGGTTTTTTTTTATCACTGATGTCAACAGTACACTACAGGGCCTGCTTTATAAATGTTCACCCCACTATCCACCACACGGCATTCCTGCCACTAGATGGAGCCGAGGAGCATGGGAAATTCCTATGCTCATTGGCTTTATTTAGTGGCAGGAATGGAGTGCAAACAGCATTCGCTCAGCGAATGGTTGGAAGGACAATTCGGCCCCATGTGTGAAACAGGGACTTATCCTCAGGTTTTCAAACACATGCACTAACCCCTTTTTTCCCTTAAATGCCCCCTACCCACCCCTTTTTTATTTCTTCTCCTTTCTCATCCTCCCCTACCTCCTTTAACCCCTTCATGACTGAGGCCCTTTTTTCAATTTTTGCACCCATGTTATATTCCACATTTTAGGCCTGAAAATGACGTAAAACCCCCCAACATTATATATTTTCTGAATGCCAAGACCCTATAGAATAAAATGGTGGTAGTTGAAAATTTTTATGTTGCGCAATATTAGCGCAACTCCTTATTAAACCCCAAAATTTAGTGACAAATTTAATTAAATGCCCCAAAACACAACAAATTACCCATTTTTTAAATGAAATATAAAAGATGAGGTTACAACGAGTAAAACGATACCCAACATGCCCAGTTTACAGATTGCGTGCGACCGTGAAACGGCGAAAAACTGCAGTACCCCAAAAAGTCAATAAAAGACACTTTAAAAGCCCCCACAGGTCATCAATTTAGAAATACCCCAAAATACTGACCCTAGGATTGTTGCTCTCACTCCGGCGTG